CGAAATCAAATTCGATCGTGTTGCCTTTGCATATCATCCAGAGCGCCCCATTTTCCGAGACATATCGTTCACAATCCCAGCAGGAAAGAAGGTCGCTATCGTTGGACCTAGCGGTTCTGGGAAATCCACAGTGTTCAGACTGCTATTCAGGTTTTACGAGCCAGACGCGGGAAGGATTCTCATTGATGGTCAAGATCTGCGCGACGTTACCTTGGACAGCCTCCGACATTCCATTGGCGTCGTACCACAGGACACACCGCTCTTCCATCAGGACGTGATGCACAATATCCGTTATGGCCGTATATCGGCAACAGACGAGGAAGTTGTGGAGGCAGCGAAGAAAGCGAACGTGCATCACACCATTGAACGCATGGCTCAGAAGTACCAGACGCAAGTTGGTGAACGAGGCCTGATGATCTCAGGAGGGGAGAAGCAGCGTCTAGCAGTGGCGAGGGTCCTGCTAAAGGACCCGCGTATTCTGTTCTTCGACGAAGCGGTGCGTTGTATATACCTGCCCCACACATTTCCTGATCAGGTTAGACATCGGCATTGGACAGTCAGACAGAGATGGAGCTTATGAAGAATATCAACTCTACGCTGCTGGATAAGCAACGCACGAGTGTGTTCATCGCCCATAGGTTACGTTCAGTTGCTACAGCTGGTGAGCTCATTCGTACTGTGGACTGTGTGGACCTGATTACTCACTATACGCGCCAAGACCATATCATTGTCATCAAAGATGGGCACGTAGTGGAACAAGGGACCCACAACGAGCTCATGCACGCCGGCGGATTGTACAACTCCATGTGGTTTGCCCAAGCGAATGACCCAACGGAAACCGCCTACATCGCGGAGAACAAACAGGATGTGGAGGAGGCGGAGCCAGGCGACGAGAACGACAACGCGGAAAGAGAGTCCGACACGAGATCTACTACATAGACCATTGCAGGTACCATTTTGGGGAGATTGCGGCGAATTGTCTCCTACGAAACCATATATTGGTTATTTGTTATGATACATGCATGTACGGAATTCTGAATGAACTTCACTTGCATGCACTGGGTGGGCGCTATGACCTGAGGTGGTATCTTCATATGGGGTAGTTCCATATGTACCCTTTTTTTTGTCCCCCCCGTCCCCCGAAGCCGTTGAATCCTGAAAAGAGAAGCCGTTATCCTGGTGCAGGAGAGAGTGGCGTATTAATACCTGCGGTTCGGACCACGATCCCCTCGGGGCTCATTCAAGAAGTGTTCCTAGATGAACCTCATGCCACAGCTGGACGCTCCAGCTATACGCTCATTTGTGAATGACAAAATGAGTCACGTTACCGGAGAGGGTGCTGCCACCTATTGTGAGTTAGACAGATGGTTGCGAAGTGGAGGGGTCGGGGTCGGTACAGAAGTGCTGAATTATCGCACCGTCGGTGATTCGGCTTATCAGATCGGAGATTGGCGCCCAGGTCTCAGGGGATGACGCCTTCTCGCGTAAGTGTGCGCGTGTTGGTCGACACCGGGCGCTCTCTCCCCTCATTTCAGCGGCAACGTCCAACAACCCGTCCTCGCTGTCGCCCGAGGGATGATCCCACGAGAACCATTCTCTATCGCCCGTTCATTATCGAATGCATCAAGAGGTCATCCACAGGTGCGCATTGGTAGTATCGGTCAGCATATAATTTTGCTGACATCAAGCCGGTTCACCGATTAGGTAACATATTTTCCCCGTTCTGTGAAAAGCGCACAACCCTCAAGCAGACGTACTTTCTCCAACTCGGGGAGATATGCTGCCCCTATATTTGCGCCAAATGTGTGGATGAAACGGGCACCGTCTGCCAGCACATCAACTTTCGTGCTCCCGATCGCCCTCCAATGTCGAGCGTACCGACGTTGTGTACCCCGATTATCCCCCGTACCGTCCCAACCCGCCACATCAACAGAAAATCCCACGAAACGAATCCCTCTAGCAGATACATCCAGCACAGCAGTCACGAAACCTACTCCGAAGGCTGTCATTGAAGCAAAACCACATCGCCCAGCATACGAACATGACTTAGGCGACACGGTGCACTTGTCTCAGGCCGAGCAGCGAAAGTCGGATTGGAATATCCTCAAGCAATTGGCAGTCAATGTGTGGCCGAAGGGGGAATGGGATATCAAGGCCAGGGTCGTGGCTGCGTTCGGGTTGCTCATCATTGGAAAGGTGCGTATGTCCTGCGTTGAGCTCCATCAGTTGACATATATCTCAGATTGCGACGGTACAAGTCCCATTCTTCTTCAAAGGAGTTGTAGATGCCCTCAATGTCCCAGTAACCGCTGATACGACTGTGTGGGTAGTGGCGGGGGCAGTGATTGCCGGGTGTATGCGCCCTCTATCTCTCTCGAACGCGCGCTGACGGTCCGTGACCCAGACGGCCTGGCTAGAATTATGTCAACCGTTTTCAGCGAACTCAGAAACGCCATCTTTGCCAAGGTTGCCCAACGTGCGATTCGACGTGTCGCACGTGACACATTCGATCATCTTCTGAATCTTGACCTGAAATTTCACCTATCTCGACAAACGGGTGGGCTCACAAGGGCTATTGACCGCGGAACAAAGTACGTATTCATCAATACATGACCAAAGAACAGCACTGAATCCAAACCAGGGGCATCACATTCATGCTCACATCAATGGTGTTTCATGTCGTGCCCACTGCCTTAGAAATTACTATGGTGTGTGGCATCCTGGTGGGTTGGAGTTGTCCTCGGCGCATGCCCTAGAATCTGATCTACATCAGACTTGGAGTTACGGGGCTAACTACGCGATCGTGACTGCACTTACGATGGCAGCATATACGTGGTTCACTGTCAGAACAACCTCTTGGCGCACGCGTTTCCGCCGGGAAGCCAATCAGGCGGATAATAAGGCCGCCACTACGTCCGTTGATTCACTCATCAATTACGAGGCCGTCAAGCACTTCAACAACGAAAAATACGAAGTCGGACAATATGATAAACATTTGTCCCATTATGAGGACGCCTCATTGAAGATCGCAACATCCCTTTCCTACCTTAATTCGGGACAGAACGTCATCTTCTCCTCGGCTTTGACTATCATGATGTTCCTCGCTGCACAGGGCATCATAAACGGTTTATTGAGATTTCGAATTTGAAGACCAATACTAATCACGACTTAGGCCACATGACTGTGGGCGATCTGGTGATGGTCAATCAGCTCGTGTTCCAACTATCTTTACCATTAAACTTCCTGGGAACGGTGTACAGAGAATTGAGGCAGAGCTTGTTGGACATGGAAATTCTCTTCAATATTCGCCGCAATAACAAGCCCATCGTGGTATGATCTGTCCTTTGGCAGTCAGATGTTTATCTTGACGCTATTGATTAGGATGCACCTGGAGCAAAGGCACTTGTGTTGAAAGGCGGCGAAATCAAATTCGATCGTGTTGCCTTTGCATATCATCCAGAGCGCCCCATTTTCCGAGACATATCGTTCACAATCCCAGCAGGAAAGAAGGTCGCTATCGTTGGACCTAGCGGTTCTGGGAAATCCACAGTGTTCAGACTGCTATTCAGGTTTTACGAGCCAGACGCGGGAAGGATTCTCATTGATGGTCAAGATCTGCGCGACGTTACCTTGGACAGCCTCCGACATTCCATTGGCGTCGTACCACAGGACACACCGCTCTTCCATCAGGACGTGATGCACAATATCCGTTATGGCCGTATATCGGCAACAGACGAGGAAGTTGTGGAGGCAGCGAAGAAAGCGAACGTGCATCACACCATTGAACGCATGGCTCAGAAGTACCAGACGCAAGTTGGTGAACGAGGCCT